CTATCTTTTATTGTATTAAAAAAGGAATAAAATGTGTTTTTCTTTACAAATTAATAAGTGCTACATATAGGTTGATATTTTTTTGCCCAGATTAAGAAAAATGTTCACATTTAATTGTATGTATGTTTTCAGAGTGGGTAAAAGTGTTTCCATGTCCAAAGGTTGTTCCATGTTCAAAGTCACCGTCAGCAAGACACATAAAAGATTCCCATCCCATGACTAGGGCAGCCTCGTTTATTGATTGTGAGTGAGCTGGTTATTCAGCTATCACCTCTCTGATTAACCCTTTCTCTTCCCTGGTCTGAACTGAGATTCTGAAACCAGACTTCTTTGCCCGCTGGTTCCCTATTGTCTTCTGTCGATAAGGGGGTTAGAGGCAGACTGGGGGACTGGAGGGGGGGGACAGGATGGTTACATCCTGTTCCTTTGAGTGTCACACAGCAATGCATTTCATCAGGGCAAGGACAGTGGTTCCAGCAGCTGTAGTTGGTGCCAGTTTAAAGCTTTTTCCACTCCCAGTAAAAGCCTCATTGAGCCTTCTCAGAAACACGAGCACCAGATCTCAGAGCTCTGTGTCCTAGACCTGTGGGACCCTCTTTTGAGACAGAAAAGAAGATATGCATAATCTCCCTGTTAAAAAATGTCACAGATATATTCCAGCTAGGTTAGAACAGATATGTGCTTAACCAATCCATATTAAGAAAGAAACTGTTACCTTACCCCATCACGACAATTGGGACATATTGACTTGGGCCAGTGACTTTACTGAAGGAAACAAAAAACCAAACAGAATAATATTTGTACAGGCTTTCAAGATCACACTGAAAATAATGTTTGACCAATAAATACAAAAAATGGTACCTTAAAAATAAACCTTCCTGGTACTCTGGCCACCAAAGGATTAAGTGTGAAAGTAGAACTTTTGACTCAGCCTCAATGAAATGAAAAGAAACTGTAGGTCACAAGACCCACGATGATTTAATGAGAAGCCTTAAGAGATAGTAGCCTGATGGGAAAACTAGTTTGAGAATTTAAGATACTACACAGGTCATCCAACTCCTCAGAAAACTAAGGGATAAGGGAGTAGAGGATATTTACATTCTGTTTACCTTAAGTGCACAAAGCAGACAGGACAGGTGGAAAAAGACTTTATTCTCATATTATTTTTATTTTTTAAAATTTTTTTAATTAAAAATTTTTTTTGCAGAGATTCTCTACCTTTATTTATTTATTTGTTTATTTACTTATATTATGTTCAGTTAGCCAGCATCATTTTTGATGTAGTGTTCTCATTTAAACACACTCAGGTGCCACCTTGGGTTAAGATGGTATGAAGGAGGAATCCACTTCTTGTGATAGTTAGAAATCCTTCTTGGGCTGTTTAATTAAAAGTTCCCAAAAGGAAAACAGAAGAATGAGAACCAACAGGAAAGAAACAAAAAGCAAGTAATAAAGTGATAGACCAGGTGCTAACATATCAATAATTACCTTAAATTTAAATTGTTGAAATATGCCTATCAAAAGACAGAAAATGACAGAGTGGATAAAAGAGCACAATATGACTAGATACTGCTGACAAGAAATTCCCTTCAAAGTCAATGATTAGGTAAGTTGAAAGAAAAAGAATGGAAAAAAATATACCATACCAACAATAAGTTTTTTTTTTTTTTAAGATTTATTTATTCATTTGAGGGGGGAGGGGCAGAGGGTGAGGGAGGGAGAGAATTCTCAAGCAAACTCCCCACTGAGTGCAGAGCCGGACCTGGGGCTTAATCCTATGACCCTGAGATCATGACCTGAGCTGAAATTAAGAGTAGGACGCTCAACTGACTGAGCCACCCGGGCGGCCCCAACATTAACTTTTTAAAAAGCAGGAGTGGCTATATTAATATCTGATTAAGGTAGACTTAAGAGCAAAGAAAATATCTACAGACAGACACAATATAATGTTAAAAACATCAATCCACCTAGAAGATTTAATGATCCAAAATGTATATACATGCCAAACAACAGAGCCTCAAAGTACAAGAAGCAAAAATTAATACAGCTAAAAAAAGTTCTCTTTTAATCTTCGAGGAAATTAACTCTCAAAAAGAAGTATGCAAAGACATGAAAAATTAGGAAATGTTGTGTTATTCATTTAAGTGTGGAATTTGTTGTAAGAAAAGGGATTTGTTAAATGAACTGTACTAATCTGATTCATCCCTATAAAAAATCACTTAGGCTTCTCTCTGAGTCAGAAAATTTCAAAACTGTCTACTTTTCCTCCCTGTGGGCTGAAGGAGTAAAACAAATAGTGGGTCTGGCAGATTTCAATCTAAGCTCAGTTTGAAGCCTGGATTCTCTTATTTATAGAACATAGAAGGACCTTTAGTGAAACCTTAACTATAATAATCTCTGCAGGGTGTAATAATATGATTTCAAAGTCTCTACTACTATGTATATTTTAGAAATTGCTACATTCCACAGTTTTATCTTAAAAAGTCAAAGTTAACTTTAGAATTTCTTTTTAAATTTGCAAACAAAATCATACCTCTTGTTGTTTTCAGACTTGAATAGCAATCAGTGTAGGTGTAAAATTCTAGTCATAATGTTCTTTATACATCATCCCACTGTCTCTTAGCATTTGTTGCTTAGAGAAAAATTATGAGTCCTGCTCATTTCAATTCTTTTGAAGGAATCAAGGTGGGTTTTTTCCTGTTTGTTTAGCAGTAGGAATCTTTTTAAAATTAATTAATTTTTCAAGTTTTTATTTGAATTCCAGTTACTTAACATACAGTGTAATATTAGTTTCAGGTGTAGAATTTTGTGATCCATCACTTACATACAACACCCAGTGCTCATTACATCACGTGCCCTCCTTAATGCCAATCACCCATTTACCCCATCCCCTACCACTTCCCCTCCAGCAACCCTCAGTTTGTTCCCTATAGTTAAGAGTCTGTTTTCTGGTTTGTCTCTCTCTTCTCTCTTTTCCTCTGTGTTCATCTGTTTTGTTTCTTAAATTCCACATGTGAGTGAAATCATATGGTATTTGTCTTTCTCTAACTGACTTATTCACTTAGCATAATATGCTCTAGTTCCATCCACATCACTGCAAATGGCAAGATTTCATTCTTTTTTTATGGCAGAGTAATATTCCATCATATATAATTATATACATCATATACATATCACCTCTTCTTTATCCATTCATCAATCGATCAGTTAGTGGACATTTGGGCCCTTTCCATAATTTGGCTATTGTTGATAATGCTGATATAAACATTAGGGTGCATGTATCCCTTCAAATCAGTATTTTTGTATCCTTTGGGTAAATACCTAGTAGTGCAATTGCTGGATTGTAGGGTAGTTGTATTTTTAACTTATTGAGGAAACTCCATACTGTTTTCCAGAGTGGCTGCACCAGTTTGCAAGGAATATTTTTATTTAAATTAAAAAAATTTTCACCTGCTGGGATGCCTGGGTGGCTCAGTCAGTTAAGCGTCTGCCTTCGGCTTAGGTCATGATCCCAGGGTCCTGGGATTGAGTCCCGCGTCGGGCTCCCTGCTCAGTGGGGAGCCTGCTTCCCCCTTTGCCTGCCACTCCCCCTACTTGTGTTCCCTCTCTCTCTGACAAATAAATAAATTTTTTTAAAAAAATTTTCAACTGCTGATAAATTACTGAACACTACATCTGAAACTAATGATGTACTATATATTGGCTAATTGAATTTAAATAAAAAAATTTTTTTTCACCTGGGAACTTTCTTGGTCTCACTACATGAATTTTTTTCTTGCCCCTGTTGGGCTTTCAACTTCCAATTACAGATTTCTTTTCAGATCTAGAAAGTGTTTTTCTTTTTAAAATTGAGGTATAATTGAATTACAATATTATATTAGTGGCAGGTGTACAACATAATAATTCAGTATTTGTATTTTTGCAAAATTATCACCACAGTAAGTCTGGTTAACATCTGTCACCTACATAGTTACAGAATTTTTTGTGTGTGATGAGAACTTTTCAGATCTCTTAGCAACTTCTAAATATGCAATATGGTTTTCTTCAGTTGCCATACTGTACTGAAAGTATTTTCTTAAATATACATTTTTATCCTCATTTATGACCCACTGTTCCATGTTATACTTCAAAAACATCTCTTATTTGTATATTACTTATTGGATTTCTAGGACTTTCCCTCTAATATATTTCTGAGCTCTTCAAAATGTCGATATTCATTTTACATTTGGGAGTATTTCTGAAGTAAATCTTTTCTGTTATTGATTTTTCACATCGTCAAATATGCCTTGTATTGCTTCTGGTATGGAAACTGCTAAATTTTTCTTTCTGTCATCACTGTCCTGTCCTATATCGCCCTGTTTCTAAGTTTATTCTTGTTTAATGGCGGCCATGTCCTCTCAAATCATTTAGGGGGCTTCCTACACTTCCATGAGCTCTGAAGCCAGGTCTATGACAGGAGGCTGAGGGCAAGTGCAAGGTGTGGGCCATCCGGGTGAAGAGGGGGCAGGCCTCAAGTCAGAAAAAGCCAAGGGAATCAGGGTGGAGTGGGGGTAGGGACAGGTTGTAGAAAAAACATGTATGTTGGGTACAGTACTGAGCATTTACCATAGGGACCCCCAGTTCATCCCCACAATAACCCTAAAAGTGAGGCATTATTATCCCAACCTGTCCCTCCATGTACCTACACTGAACTGGATGGGAATGGAGAGCTGGCCTCAGGAGAGCAAGGTGGCCCTCTAGTCCCCTGACAATAGTGACACCTTACTTTTGCTCACACCAAAGTATTATTCTCACTAAAATTTTGCAAGGTTGGCTGAAAAGGTAATTGTCATTATCCCCAGAGAACAGGAAACTGGAATTCAGAGAAGGCTGACACTCAAACCCTGTCTCTGCATTCCTGTGTTGTCCCTGACGTCTGGAGCCAAGACAACCCTTGACGAAAACAGCGTCAGCCTCAGCACCTCCCAGGAATGACTTCATATCCTGTTATGCAACTTTCTGGAGCCTCTAGGTTAGAGTGTCCCAGGCACACCAGCGGCAGCTGGGGCTGGCGCACACAAAGCATGAGGAAGGCCAGGCTCCAGGAACTTCTCTGGATGCTCTTCATCTCAGGTAAGGTGAGGAAGAGGCATGAGCAGGTGAGGCCTCTGCCCAGAACCTTGGGGATCCACCATGAGAAAAGCTTCCCTTCTCTTTGGAAACTCCAGGGGATGTGGCCACCCAGCATAGAGTCAACCAGTAGACTTGTTAGACTGTGTTTCTCTACCCAAACTTCACAGAATCAGGAGAATATATAGGCCCTGAGAACAGAAGTAAAAGGGGTGAATTAGGGAAACAGGATATCTGTGCATTTTGATGTTGGCAAAGATAAGCACAAGTCTAGGTGGGAAAATGCTAGAGTAAATCTAAACTTGATATGATCTGAAATAATTTTGCTTGAGTTTGAAGTTTTGTTTTCTTATATTCCATCGTGGTGCTTTTCACGTGACTTCATTAACCCCCAAAGACATAAGTCATTGCCCCGGAAGTCTGTTATTGCTGAGGAATAGCAGAACAGAAGTGAAGAGAAGGGGCTTGGTGCCCCCTTTCCTGGGGGCTGTGACTGCAGACCGACGTGTCTGCTGGTGTTGGAGGGTGTTGTTGCCCTGACTTGATGGGTCTGCCCCATTGCCACACCCTCACTTCTCTTGTTGTACAGCTCACACTTGGATTAAAGATGGAAGCATTTGGGGCTTTGGCTGTTCCTCCTCCTAATCCTTATGCATAAATTGGGAAAATAACAAGTGAAAAGAAGGGTTTGCCTTGGAAAGACTTGGAGATTACAGAGAAAACACAACCTTTCCAGGAACACAAGGTTGAGCAAGGGTACAGACACTCGCTTTGCAAAGCCTGCACACACATAGCACTTTGAGTCTGCTTGGAGCTGGGATGATAACCCAGATGGGCAGATAGGAGCTTGGTTCTCATTCGCTTGTGTTGTATTCATGTTTTTCCAAAGCAGAACTGGGAGAATATGGAGGGTTGATGCTTGTGTACTGATGTGCGAGAAAGCCAGTGGTATATATTTTATTGTGTCCTGTGAGGGTGGTTTGGGGTAACCTAAAAACTCCCTCTAGCTCCTGTATCCTAAGGAACAGAATCATTAGGTACCTATTCAGGCGTGGGCTGGGACTGCTCTCATCTCAACCAGATAACTGCCTTGGGCAACATAGCTCCCAGGTTTAGAGTTGAGTTCAGGGTCAGACTATCCAGGCTTGAATCCTGACTACCACTTTCTATTGCGGAACTTTGGGCAAATCACTTAATAACCTCTGGCTTATTAAATAACCTTTCTGGGCCTCACTTTCCTTATCTCTGAAATAAGACTAATGGCAGCATCAACCTTAGAAGTTATGGAGCTTAAATGATAAAGTTAGGAAGATTAAGTGAGCTAGTACTTTTAAACACTTAGCAATACAAAGTATTTGGAATTCTTTTCTTGCAGTCATGCAAGGAATTGTGCACACATAGCACTTCAGCGCTGAGTTCTTGCTGTTTCCTTTCACAAGAGATAGGCAAGTTTGTGCAGAACTCATACTCCTGTAACTCCCACTCTCTTCATCCACTTGGGCGGCTATCATAAAATACCATAGACAGAGTGGCTTATAAGCAATAGGTACTTATTTCTCACAGTTCTGGAGGGTAGATATTCAAGATCATGCTGCCATTTTGGTTGGGTTTTTGTGAAGGCCCTCTTCCAGGTTGTGGACTATGGACTTCTCACTCTGTCCTCCCAGGGTGGAGGCGGTGAGGGAGCTCTCTGGATCCCTTTTATAAGGGCACCAATCCCTTTCATGGGATCAATCATGACTTAATCATCTCCCAAAGTCTTCACCTCTTAACACCATCACCTTGGGGATATGGATTTCAACATAAGAATTTTGCGGGGGGACACACACATTCTGACCATAGCATCTACCTTGCCCAGGGACTTGGCAAATAATTTATCTATAATCTTTACATTAATGTTACAGAGGGTAGAGAGAGGAGGTGTTTGTCTTCCTCAGAGCTCAGCACAGTGCCTGGCACACAGTAGGCTCTCAGCCACCAGTTGATGAATGAGTGAATGAATGAGTGAGCCAAACTTGGCTTAAGACAGCCCCCAGTCTTGGCTCCCTTGTTTCTTGGAGGGGAATTCCTGACCAGAATTCAGAGGACTTTTCAAGAAGCTTGTTTTGGGCACCTGGGTGGCTCAGTCGTTAATCGTCTGCCTTCGGCTCAGGTCATGATCCCAGGGTCCTAGGATCGAGTCCCACATCGGGTTCCCTCCTCGGCGGGAAGCCTGCTCTCCCTCTCCCACTCCCGGGGCTTGTGTTCCTGCTCTCACTATCTCTGTCTCTGTCAAATAAATAAATAAAATCTTTAAAAAAAAAAAAAAAGAAGAAGAAGCTTGTTTTCTAGGTTTCCTTAGAAACTGCAGTCTGGTCCCAGAAGAACTGGCCTGGTTTCTGGGCTGTGATGATAGCCCAGGGACTCCATTAAAGGGGCAGCTGTTGGCATTTTTCAATGGGCATTCTCAGAACTACTGCCCAGGGATTAAATTGTGTGTGTGTGTGTGTGTGCAGTAGTATTAATAATAGCAGTAGTAGTTGTAGGTAGCGGTAGCCTGATCCACAGTTTGACCCGACATTACTGTCCAGCCCATTATTTGGTGTTCCATGGAAAAAAGTAACTCAGGCTTGAATGGATAGACCCTGTGGATAAGTTATAGAGCTCTGTTGTGTCCAGCCAAAAACACAGATCTAGATCTTATTTCCACTCAAGTTGGCCTTCCCCTTGGCAAAGCTCCTTTGGACCAGACCAGAATTGATCTCTTTCCCCTACTCTTTCCCCTAGCTGTTTGGAGGAATCACTGTCTGCTACTATCATGTCTCACATCCACTCATCACCCTGTATGTCCTTCTCTATAATCTTCCCTTCCATAATACCCCTGTCACTCACGGTCTTGGTACATGTCCCATGTTCTGCCTCCAAACAGGCAATTTTTTTCCTCTCAAAAACAATCACTTATGAAAGTTTGCACAAAGCATGTGTGGTCTAGTTCTTGGAGTAAAAGAAAAATTACTCACAGTAAAAAGATCTGGGATCTAGTGCTGGCTTGCAGGGAAGGTTGCATGTTCTCTGGAGGCCTTGAGGACCTCATCTGAAAAATGAGCGGTTGAATAAGAAAAAGAGGTTGTTGTTGTGCACAAACAATGAATCATGGAACACTTCATCTAAAACTAATGATGTAATGTATGGGGATTAACATAAGAATAAAAAAAAAAAAGAAAAAGAAAAAGAGGTTGTTTCTCTCTTTTTTTCCAAAGAGAAGAAAACTATTCCTCACAGAGTCTAACTCTGATTCCCTGCTTACAGAACTCCAAGCTGCAACTGAACCACATGAAGAAAAGTATGTCTTAGCAGCAGGAGAGACCCTGAATGTACAATGTCCCTTCTCCATCCAGAAGTATGCCTATAGCCAGAAAGCTTGGCAGAGGCTGATGGATAGAGCGGAGCCCCTGACACTGGTTTTCACAACGAGTGTTTCAGGGAGTCCCAGTCAAGTCCGGATGGGCAGGTACTTCTTAGAAGACAACCCCAGTGAGGCCATGCTGAATGTCCAAATGACCAATCTTCAAGTGGAGGATTCAGGACTGTATCGGTGTGTGATCTACCATCCTCCCAAGGACCCTGACATCCTGTCCCCCCTTGTCCGCCTGGTGGTGATTAAGGGTGAGTGACCTGGAGGGGGGTAAGAGGATGGGGAAAGCCAGCCCAGGTGGTGGTATGGGTGGTGGTGGTAGCACCCGCAGGGCTGTGGCTCAGGATTTCTAGCAAACTGACCTCTCTCCCAGAAGCTCCTTGTCTTTCATTTGAGGTCCTTGAGAGGCATTTGGTCCAAAAGTAAGAAGGGGTTTCTGTGTATGGGATTCCTTTTAGGGTAGCAGAGCTTAATTTGGGGTACTATTGTAGGAAGTAGGGTACAGTGAAAGATGAGTGGTAGACTTGGATAATTTAGTCTCATACTTTAGGTTTCCAGATGGAAGTCATTTCTTTGGGAAGCCTTTGTGATCACCTATTCCCTCCCCCCCAGTACATTTGATGGCCTTCCTGTGTGCTTCCAAAGCAGTGCTTCTCAGACTTTACTGGGGGCACAACCCGCCTGGGGATTTTATTTCAAAAGCAGCCTCTGATACAATAGGTCTAGGGTGGGACCTAGATTCAGCATTTCTTTCTTTCTTTTTTTTTTTAAGATTTTATTTATTTATTTGAAAGAGAGAGAGAGAGAGAGAGATCACAAGTAGGCAGACAGGCAGGCAGAGGGAGAGGGAGAAGTAGGCTCCCTGCTGAGCACAGAGCCCGATGTGGAGCTCGATCCCAGGACCCTGGGATCATGACCTGAGCCGAAGGCAGATGCTTAACCATCTGAGCCACCCAGGCATCCCATAGATTTAGCATTTCTGATCTGCTTGCGGGTGATGCTGCTGCTGAGGCTGGTCCATGGCTCCCATTTTGGATAGCAAATCTCCAGAGCTCACTTTGTGTCCCCCTCATAGATGATGCTGTCCCATTGGGTAGTAGTGGCCAACTTACTTACCTACCTCCAATGCTCATCTGTGAGTACCCTGAGGAAAGGGCCTGTGCCTTTCTCATGTCTGTATCCCTAGAAACTAATGTACTGCCTGGGACAAAGTAGGACCTCAGTAGATGTCAACTGGAGAAATTAAGGAAGGAGAGGAAAGGGAGGAAGGTTCAAGTTTCTAGCACCTGGGGAATCCTAAGCCTAAGGAAGACAAGGCTCATATGCAATATATTAATAAAAGACAATTTGAAAAGCAATATGCTACAGGTTCACGTGAGGGTGAGGCAGAGAATGGTACAAGGTAAAGTAATCAGGGAATTATTCTTGAAGAAGGTGGAAGCATATGGATAGGTGAAGAAGAGCAGGCGAGTGCATTTCCAGTGATAGGAATCACTTGAAAATTCCATTTCCCCCTTCCCCCCTTCCCCACCTTCCTCCCTCCTTCTCTCTCTCTCTTCCCTTTTCTGCTTTCCTTCCTTCTTTCTTTTTTCCTGCCTCTGACCCAGGCTGATCTCACACTAATTCTTTAATCTTAGCAAAAGAAAAACTTGCTTCACGAATGGCCATGTTCATTTCCTTCCTCAGTTTCATTTACCCTGACACCTCTCCATCCATCCAACTTTCCTTCCTTCCATCCAAACACCCTTCCTTCCTGCCTCCCTGCCTTCCTTCTATCCATTGTTCCACCTGTCTATCCACCCACTCACTTCCCAAAACTTCATTCATTAACTTAACCATCCATTTATCCAATGTGCTTTCTTGCAGATCCTTTAGGCACCACTGTCTCAGACAAGAATCCTACTCGGAACTTGGCTCGGATTTCCACCCTTCCTCCTACCACCACCAAGGCCCAGAGCACACTCCTCAAGAGGCCCAAGACTGTGACCCAACTCTTACCCAAATCAACTGCTGACATCTCCTCTCCTGGCTTGGGAGTCAACATCACAAATGCGACGGATGTCACGAGCTATGGTTTCAGGTCTCTGGGCCTCCTGGTTTGATTCTGAGTCCATATGCTTGAGATGTGGGGAGTGATGAATGGGGGAAAGGGGAGGGCAGGAGCAGACTTGAGTCAACTAAGTCTGGTGAAACTTTCCTGGGGAAGAAGGGAGTGGTACTAGAGTGGGAGGAAGCTGTTGGTGAGGCTCCCCCTCTCCCTGGTTCACCCTGTTTCCTTGCATCCTATAGGAGTAAGAAGAAGGAAAGGGTGTCTTTGCTTAATTTCAGTGGGTCTCAGCCAACCTCACCAGCCTAATGGTATAGTGGAGTGAGGGTCCCTGGATTCTAATGCCAGCCAGATTGGCTAGCTGTGTGACTTTGGGTGAATCATGAACGCTCTGTGGCTTGTTTCCTTGTCTATAAGGAGGCTAGCAAATGCAGAGCTGGAAATAATAATCTAGCCCAACGGCTCTCCTCTCAGCGGCTGCTGTGTGTTAGGATTACCTGGAGTGTTTGCTTTTGCTTTGGTTTGTGTTTCATACTGATGCATGTGCCCTCCTGTAGACCAATAGATCAGGATTTCTGGAGATGGGGCTGGTCTCAGCATTTTTTATGAGATCTTCAGAAGATTTCTTAATGTGCAGGCAAAGCTAAGACCCATTAACTTTGCATGCATACCCCTCTTTATGGTTTATTATTAAATGTTGATTTATCTCTGAATGTGTTTATCATTAAATGTTGAATTAACAGAGATATATTCATCCATATTCCCACTAATCTAACATGTCTGATTGCCACATTCTCTTTCTAGTTTTTATTCATGTTCATACATATTTAATATAGCAGTAATTCTAATTATAAACATTGCCATTATTTTTCTATGCTAAGACTATTCTTTGATGTTGCTACCTAGACTTCATGATTATAATTTCAACAAATGCATCCTTTTCTATCAATGAAAAAGCCATGACTTACATCTTACTTGCCTGTCTTTAGACACTGAGATTGTTTTAATTTTTTACAGTATTGATAACTTTGAGATGAACATTTTTGCAGATGTCTTTTTTTCTTTTAAATTATTTATTCAAAGGAAATTCCTTTAAGAGAATGTGAACATTTATATTGCTCTGTATACATATTGCCAAATGGTCTTCAAAGGTTGGAAACAATTTGTGTTGTGATCTGTAATGTATAAGTGAAGCAGTTGTCACTGCAGGGATCCTTTGCGTACAAGGATTTAGTATTTGGAAAATATTCCTGCTAAATTGGACATGAACTATCACGTGCTTTCATTTCTCTCTTGCTGTGGCCTAGAAGCTCCAGGAGGATAGAGGCAGTGACTATCCACGCACTACCCCCCCGCCCCCCAACTGTTATTTTGTTGGCACCAGTGCTGGTACCTAGTAGGTGCTTATTAAATCTTTGTGGACTAAATAAATGCTCTAGTGAGAATCGACATTTTTTTTAAGTTACTTTGATTTTCCAGCATATAAGTCAAGAGTACCCACTTTGGCCCACATTGCTACTAGAGGTTGCATATTTTCTATTAACTTTATTTATTAACTCATATGAACTATTCTATCAGTCAGAATCCAGCCAAGGAAGCAGAAGCCACTGAGCTGTTTGAAAAAGAGATGTTTTGTACAGGGAGCTATTTGCCTAGGTAATGGAAGAAGTGAGCTTCCAATCTGGGGATGGATGGGGTTGGCCACCTTAGAGGAAGCCACCACCTCACTGTCTTAGGGTGGGTTCCCTAGAAGCAGGCAGTGGGAAAAGTCTTGTACAATGTAGGAAGTGATCCCAGGTAAATCCATCCGGGAAGTGAGACCAGGAGAGAAGGAAGCTTAGTAAGGATGTCATCACCAAGCTGAGTCCCACAGGGGGGAACTTTGGGATTCAGTCCTGCAGGGGATTTCTGGGGGACCCACGGACTTGTCTATATCAGAAGCTGGGGGAACTGGATATTTATACTCCGAATTTCCAGTCGTCTGTTGGGGGTGGCCCAGCGGCACATGAATTCCCAGGCACTGGGGTAGGGGCGGTGGTCTGGCCGCCTGTGTGCAGCCTCAGAAAGGGGTGCATGTTGGCCCTCGAGAGTGGACACACTTCTGGAGCTCCGCGCATGAAAATGTGAAAGGGCTGGGAGGACAAGGGAGACTTGAAGGTCAAGTGAGCTGGGACCTTGGAGCCATGGGCTGAACCCGAGCCGCGGAGGGCGCTACTGTAACCGCGAGCAGCCAGGAGCTGTCAGGGGTCAACTTGACCAGCTGCTGGTTCACGTAGCTCCAGGTGATGGGGAAGAAGGAAGACAGGGAGGACGGGGCTGCGGGCCTGGGGGAGACTTCAGCGTAAAGGGGCCTCGGCGGCTTTTTATTGTCATTCTGTGAATTCTCCTTCTGCGAGCTTGCACATTTGCTTTTAAGTTTTGTATGGGCAAATGTGTTGATTTTTAAATTATTACTTTGCTTTATTCCTTAATGTGCTTGATTCTATTTCCTGGTGATGTCTCTAGTTCCCCTCCTCCCCATTTTATTTAAATCTTTAGTCCATCTTGGGGGGGTATATTTTGCTAAATGGTATAAATTGTACAAAAGATGACTTTTTCTTCATATTACGATCCAGATACCACAAGATTATTTATTAAACAATCCTTGCCTACCTCCTGGGCTGCCTGATTTCTTAGATGCTAAATTCATGCATAACATTAAGTCAATATCTGGACTTCTCTTTGTTTCACTGCCATCTATTTCTCTTTTCACCCTGTGTCTTATCATGCAGATTAGTTGTGCTGTAATCTGTTTCCATATCACTGAGCCTAGACAGACCATGCTTTCTCACTCATGGGTATCTCTTTCTTATGGTATCCACTGATGCTTTCTCAGGACTTTTAGAATCATTGAGCTAAAATCTGTAATAATTCATGATGGGATTGGGGCAAGGATTGGATTCTTCTGTTTATAGATGGGGAAACCGAGGCCAAAGCAGTGAGGTGGCCCTCCCAGGAAGTAGGCCTTCCTGCTGGGACTAGAAACCAGGCTTCCTTGCTGGGCCTTCTCTCTCTGCTGCATCCCAGTGAGGAAGAGGAGCCCAGGCAGCCTGCCCTTTCTCCTGGGTGCCTCTTCTGCACATGGGCTCTATGCTCTTTACTAGATCTATTTCCAGTCAGTAGTTTCAGGCAGTGGGGCACACTAAAGGCCAGGGACAGGTGCTAGAAGGGCCGAAGCAGATAAGAGAAGGGGCATGAAGGACTTCTGTAAACACTCAGGTGTGAGGCATGCTGGTGCTAACAGTAGCTTACATCTCTTCTTTCCCCCAGGGTTCCCATGATCAACATCGTCATTCTCGTGCTGTGTGGACTCCTGAGCAAGAGCCTGGTCTTCACTGTCTTGCTTGCCGTCACGCAGAGGTCATTTGGACCTTAGGCCAGTGAAGCCATAAGCATGACCTCTGACCTCCAGCCACATCCCTCTGGCAGTTGTCCTGGGGGAGGAGTGTGAGGGGGAAAGGAAGGAGGGGCAGTGACGTGAGTTGAATCTGCAGCACAGATTCTTTCTAAGGCTCATGTCCCACCTTCTCAGCCCTGCCAGCTCCCCTCATTTACACCAGTGACCGTGGGTGTGTGTTTTGCCCCCTCAGAAGAGAAGATACAGCTGCAAACATGCCCATTCCACCCGTGGCTCGGGATTTGCCTTAAATAAAGACAGAGTCCAATGCTCTTCACTGTTGCTGTCTTATGGAGGTTGTGAGGTACCGAGGACACCCCCGCTAATTCTGCCCTTGTTCTTGCCCTGGGCCATAATGGTTTAGCCTGATCTGGACAGAGCTCTTACTACACAAGCATTCTGTTCTCCCTGCTCCTAGGCCTTTCTCTCCTCTAGAATCAGATGTTTGGGTTTCTCTCTTCATCTGTGGCCCTCTCCTACCTTCCCAGAGAAGGGGTTTGAAATCCACAGAATGAGGAGAAAACAAGACACCATGGTGAGAATACCATATTTGGGGAAGAGAAACCAAGTTAACCAAAAGGTTGTATCCTGGGAAAATCCTGGATGAGATGAGATCCAAGGCACAGGACTGATAGAGAATCTCATTTGTCAATCATGTGCATTACCAGGGGTACATCTTACCCCTGGGTCCTCAGAACATACCCATGTAAACCAAGAAGTATGCAGCTAGAAACATACCTCAGCAGAATAAAGGCCTTATATAAAAACCCCGGAGCTAACATCATCCTCAACGGGGGAAAACTGAGAGCTTTTCCCTTAAGGTCAGGAACAAGACAACGATGTCCACTCTCCCCACATTTATTCAACTTCATACTGGAAGTCCTAGCTGCAGAAATCAGACAACAAAAAGAAATAAAAGGCATCCAAATTGGTAAGGAAAAAGTCAAACTTTCACTATGTGTAGATGACATGACACTCTATATAGAAAACCCTAAAGACTCCACCAAAAACCTGCTAGAACTGATAAATGAATTCAGTAAAGTCCCAGAATACAAAATCAATGTACAGAAATCCATTGCATTCCTATACACTAATAAAGAAGCAGTAGAAAGAGAAATTAAGAAAACAATCCCATTTACAATTGCACCAAAAATAATAAGGTCCCTAGGAAAAAACTTAACCTAAGGGGTGAAAAACCTATACTCTAGAAACTATAAAACATTGATGAAAGAAATTGCAGATGACACAAAGAAATGGAAAGACATTCCATGCTCATGGACTGGGAGAACAAATACTGTTAAAATTCCTGTATTACCCAAAGCAATCTTCAGATTTCATGTAATCCCTACCAAAATACCAACAGCATTTTTCATAGAACCAGAACAAACAATCCTAAAATTTGTATGGAACCACAAAACGACCCTGAATAGCCAAAGCAATCTTGAAAGAGAAAAACAAAACTGGACACATCACAACTTTGAACTTCACGTTATATTACAAAGCTGTAGTAATCAAAACTGTATGGTATTGGCACAGAAACAGACCCATAGATCAATGGAAAAAAACAGAAAGCCCAGAAATAAACCTACAATTATATGGTCAATTAATCTTTGAAAAAGGAGGCAAGAATATGCAATGGGAAAAAGACAGTTCCTTCAACAAATGGTGTTGGGAAAACCGGACAGTAACATACAAAAGAATGAAACTGGACCACTTTCTTATACCATACACAAAAATAAATTCAAAATTGATTAAGGACCTAAATGTGAGGCCTGAAACCACAAAAATCTTAGAAGAGAGCACAGGCAGTAATCTCCCTGACTTTGTCCATACCAACATCTTTCTAGATATGTCTCCTGATGCAAGAGAAATAAAAGCAAAAATACACTATTGGGGCTACATCAAAATAAAAATCTGCACAACGAAGGAAATAACCAAAAAACTAAAAGGCAATCTACTGAATGCCATATTTGCAAATGACATATCTGATAAAGGATTAGTATCCAAAATATATAAATAACTTATTCAACTAAAGACGAAAAAACCCACAAATAATCCAATTAAAAAATGGGCAGAGGACATGAACAGATATTTCTCCAAAGAAGACATGCAGATGGCCAACAGAGACATGAAAAGATATTCAACATCACTCATCATCAGGGAAATACAAATCAAACCAAAATGAGATATCACCTCACACCTGTCAAGATGACTAAAATAAAAAACTGAAGAAGCAGCAGGTGTTGGTGAGGATGTGGAGAAAAAGGAGCTCTGTGCACTCTTGGTGGGAATGAAAACTGTTGTAGCCACTGTGGAAAACAGTATGGAGGTTCTTCAAAAAATTAAAAATAGAACTATCCTAAGATCCAGGAATCACACTACTGGGTATTTACCCAAAGAATATAAAAACACTAATTTGAAAGGATACATGCACTCCTATGTTTATTATAGCATTATTTACAATAGCCAAACTATGGGAGCAGCCCAAATGTCCACTGATAGATGAATGGATAAAGAAGATGTGGTGTGTGTGTATATATATATATATATATATATATATATAAAATATTACTCAGCCATAAAAAAGAATGAAATCTTGCCATTTGCAACAACATGGATGGAGCTAGAAAGTATAATGCTAAGTGGAATAAGCTAGCCAGAGAAAGACAAATACCATATGATTTTACTCATATGTGGAATTTAAGAAACAAATGAGCTAAGAAAACAAAAAAGAGAGTCAAACCAAGGGACAGACTCTTAACTATAGAGAACAAACTGATGGTTACCAGAGGGGAGGTGAATGGGGGGTTGGGGGAAATAGGTGTTGGGGATTAAGTGCCTCTTGTGATGAGCACATAGTATATGGAACTGTTGAATCACTATATTGTACACCTGGAACTAATATAACACTGTATGTTATCTACACTGGAATTAAAATAAAATAAAATGTTAAGTGAAAAAAAAAAAGGAAATATGTGCCTAAAATGAGACCACATGGGTAATAAGTCACTACTTACTAGCAGGAACTAAAACTAGAGTTCCTTTGCTGAAGACTAGGTGCTTCGAAGCCATATAGAATGGAATAAGGAGGAGTTCTGTCAATGTCTAAATGCCTCTTCTCCTTGTATCACATAAGAAGCAGGGATGGTGGCCCACAAATGGGACCTTTTCCCTTTAGAGCAGAAGAGGTAGAAAATACCAACTTAAATCTTTGGAGTTTGCAAGACAGGGTGGGCCTGAACACCATGGGTGAGCAAGGGAGCTACAGGGCAGTTATAGGGCAGACAGAAGGAAGACAGAGTGATAACCGAACGTGCACATAGGGACAGCCTGCAGAAGTCTAACTGGTGAGGGGTGCCTGGGTGGCTCAGTCAGTTAAGCAGCCAACTCTGGGTTTCGACTGGGGTCATGATCTCAGGGTCGTGAGATCGAGCCCCATGTGGGGCTCCACACTCAGGGTGGAGTCTGCTTGACATTCTCTCTCTCTTTCTGCCCCTCCCCCCGCTCTCTCTTTCTAAAATAAATAAATAATAAATAAATAAATAAATAAATATTTAAAAAAAAGACATCTAACTGGTGAAACCAAGAGGCAATGCACAGCAGAGGACACAGCTGAGGTCATAGCAGAAACAGTCAAAGGGTCTGATCACCTGTTAGAATTCTGCACCCAATTCCTGTGTGTGTATGTCTTGGGAGGGGGTGGTTTTCCCACACCAACAAGCAATTCTTGGACACCAGCTGGGTGTCCTGTAATTTAACTCAATTCTGATACTATCTACCCAAAGATAACATCAGATTCCACAGATTGAGGGCTTAGTTCCATAAGACTCCCCCTCCCCGTCTTTAGATGCCATTGGAGAGCACTTTTGCTTCTGACCCATCTACTATAGAAGCTACCAGTGATCCCCTCCTTGGGTTCCATTAATTTGTTACAGCAACTTGCAGAACTCAGAGATATTTTACTTACTAGTTTACTGGCCTTTTATAAAAGAATATTAAAGGACATGAATCAACAGCCAGATGAATAAATAAATAAGGTGAGGTCCTGAACAAAAGGATTTCTGTCCCCATGGAGTTTGGAGCCCAACACAGTGGCACATGGATTCTGGTTTCCCAGCCTGGAAACACTCTGAACTCCCTCCTTGTTTGTTTTTGTTTTTTGTTTTTTTTAATGGAAGCTTCATTACATAGGCATGATTGATGAACGCATTGGCCATTGGTGACTGATTCAACCTCCAGCCCCTCCTTCTTCCCCAGAAATCAGGGGGTGGGGTTGAAAGTTCCAACCCTCTTTTCAAGGTTGGTTCCCGAGACAACAGCCCCCATCCTTCCGGGATTTCCAAAAGTCACCTCAATGACAGAAACCCAGGTGTAGTGGAAAGGGGCTTGTTATGAACAAGACACTTATGTCACATTTATGGCTCTGAGATGTTTTCAGGAACTGAGGACAAGAGACCAAATATGACAAAGGAAGCTCCCACTGCTCTTACGGCTCAGGAAATTTCATGGATTTTCGGATCTGTGATCCAGGAACTAGAGATGAAATCAAAATATATGTGAGAAATATATTTTAATTATCTGCATGACCAAACGCATATTTCTTATATTCACAATATCACACAATCTAGTGATTTTGCCATTGGTGCCACTGCCCTTGGACACCTGAAGCCACCACATCCTTGGCACCAGGCTATTCCTGGACTCTCAATGCTTACATTTCTTCTGTGTCAGTCATCTCCAATAGCCCTACACCTTGTATCACACCTTTAGGATCCAGAATCTAGACAGAATCTTGCATTTGGCCAAGCTTAGTTCAAGTCACATGCCTGGCACTTAGATGCAGGAGAAATATCTACCTCCATACTCAGTAGTAGAGGAAGTAGAACTCTGCATCTTAGTGAGACCCGTGCATTGGGGCATGTCCCCTAGGTAGAGAAGGTATTGGATGCTGGAGAGCCAAAAGATGACAAATATATCCGATCTGTTGTAGTTACTCCTAATACCATCATGTTTGTGGTCTCCATGCCTCTGCTTAGGCTGGGAGCTCAGGGAAGTGCACACCTTGCATCCAGAATGAGTACCTGAGGAATGCCTCAGCGCTTACCCGACCTCAAACAGAGCTTTTACAGGCATCCCTTCTTTGGACCACTTGCCTCAGAATCCCCTGGGCTGCTCGTTAAAATGCAGATTGCTGAGCTTTATGAGACCTACCAAATCAGAATCTCTGGCGGTGCAGCTCAGGCATGTGCATGCTTGCCAACTTCCTGTGTAATTTAGTCACATGCCCATACTTGAGAACTACAGTTTGGAGCAAGAGTAAAGGAGGCAGGTCATCAGCAAGGTTTGAGCTCTGTCTTGAAGGACAAGACAAATTTTGATGCATGGTGTCATTCCAGACGGGGAGAATGGCAGAAGGGTGCAGGATGTAGTGGTCAGTGGTCAGGGATGAGAAAGTCCTGGTGACCTGAGGAAGTGAGTGGAGCAGAAGTGGGACATCAGATGGGTGTGTCCAAACTTGCTATGGTGGAGAATGGGGAGCTCTCCAGTGTTGCCCAATGGGGCTGTGATGTAATGGGAGCAGGAAGGAAGATGTCACAAGGGCAGTGATCATTCCTTTCTCTTCTGCATTTTCCTGAACTGCTCCCTCTTTGCACTTCCCTTCTCAATTGCGAAGTAATAGTCAAGCCTCTCAGAGAACATGGAAAATACCCTGCGGGGGCAATATCCTCCAGCAACTGGAAGAGCCTTGGGATGCCCAGCATCCTGTGGATCCTGGGACTGGGATAGGATGGAGGGGACAGGGCTCTGAGGGTGGCTATGGCTGCTGCTGCTCTGGACCTCAGGTAAGGAGATGCGGGGGAGGGATGCAGATGGCCGAAGGGGTGCCTGCAAAGAGGGGTTTCTCTCACTTCTTTAGAAGGTACTGGATAGGATCAGGGTGTGTGCTAGACACAGGGAAGAGACATGAAGGTAATGGATGCACCTGTCCCAGCAGGAACTGGGTGATGAAACAGAATCTGGAGCTTCCTCTAGTGCACTGTGAAGTTGAGAAATGCGAAGTCATCCAAACAACCTGTCATCCCTATGTTGATTTCCTGGGAGATGTGAAGTGTAAGACAAAGTCTCTCCTTAAAGGAATCAGGCACTGAGGTAGAGGAGGATTAGTAGAAGGGAAAGGTAAATAACAAAAGGGCAAAGTCACAGCATGAAGACAAAAATACAGTGGAAGTCCTTCTAGCAAGGCACAGAGAGGCCATGTGAAAAAGAGGTGAAGGGTTCTGGAATAGACAGAATAGGGTTCAAATCCTATCTCTACCACTTTCTACATTTGTGACCTTAGGAAGTCCTCCAACCTCTCTGAGCCTCAGTGTCCTCATTTGTAAATAGTATCTATTCAGTATTTATTTGCACATGGTACCTACTTCAGAGGGTTGTCCTAAGAGTTAAGTAGTGGACTGATGTAAAATTCTTAGGCTCAGTATTTAGGGCATAATAAGTGGCTTAATAAAAGTTATGGAGGAGGAGGATGATGGTGGTGGTGGTGGTGCAAGCAGGTGCAGGGTGATCAATGGTATTGAGGGTTGAAAGGGGAAAGAGATTAGTGCCGGTGGAATTGTTCAGGTAGACTCTACTCTGGGACCAGAAGGGGCAGATGTGGGTGGCAAGGAGTGGGGAGAGCATTCAACCTGGGGATGGCAGGAGATAGTATGAAGTCCTGTGTACTAGAAAGCAAGGGACATGTCTTGTGTACTAGAAAGCAAGGGACATGTAGAATATGGGTTGTAAAACTGGTTAAGTTCTTTTTTACTTGTTTTTTTTTTTTTTTACCATTTTATTATTAAAATTTTCCCGTCTATAAAATATGGAAAGAATAGCCACCACAAACTTATTACCTAGATTCAAATTCAAACATTCAACCATAATTGATGTTTTGCCTTATTTGCTCCATATGTATTTATAAAATTGCTGAACCATTTCAAAATAATTTATAGAAATCCTAAATTACTCATAAATACTTGATAGAGCTCCTAATACTTTTGATCTGCAACCTTGTATCTGCACTGGGGTCTGCAGATGTAAGGAAGGTGGAAGAAACATTTGCTCAGTGAAGTACTTTGACTTCCCATTCTAGGATTCCAAGCCGTAGGCGAAGGGGAAAAACAAGTGCTTGCTGGGAGGAAAGAACTGGACCACAGTTGGTTCTTACAACATCATGCTCTCCTCCTCCAGCCTGAAGGCCTGGCAGTGGGAGAAGAGCCAGGCCTCCCCAGAGACACTGGTGCACATGAACACTAGGAGCAAAGACCTAAACTGGGCCTAGGCTGGGCGATACCTGCTGAAGGATTGTCCCAGGGAGGTTGTAAGCAAGGTCACAGGGACTGAGCTCCGGCGGCAGGACTTGGGGCTGTACCAGTGCATGATCGACCTCTGACCTCAGAACCCCCATGTCCTGTCCAAACAGATTCGGTTGATAGAGTGCAAAGGTGAGAAGCAGCAAGACCCAGGACAGGGAAGCGTTTTTGCGGAGACTGACCTCAGCCACAGGCTGGGGCCCCATCTGCTGGGAGGGCTGCTTTGGAGAGATGGCGCAGAGTAATGGGAAAAGCTCCAGACTTGAAATCAGTGCACCTGGGTCTTCCACACTCACACTTTGTGAGTTTGAGAAAGCTGGTAGCAGCTTCATATTCCTTTTCTCCAGTAATTGGAGAAAACTCTAAGCTAATGTGGCTAAGGAAACCAAGTCTAATACAGATTGCTCCTGCCTGAAGGAATTATTAGTCTCACAGGGGAGACAAAATATAATCCTCTGGAAAGAGTACCAGCAGTAATGACTGAGTATGTACCGAGAGGAAAGGGTAGTTAGGGACTGATTTTTAGTTAGGTTTAAACAAACGAACAGATAAGGTTTCTTCCTGGGTGGGCTTGGCCTGTCCAGAGATAAATGGACGTTCCTTCAGTGCCCTGGGGGGAGTCCTTCTTTATTCTTCTTGACTTTTTCTTCAGTTTTCCAGGTGGAGGAGGGTATGGTAGTTGCTGACCACAGAAAGAAACTTAATATACCGTGGGGATATAAGGAGGTGATGGATGTTGTCCACCCAACCCCATGGTAGGAAGGGAGGCCTGAAATGGGAACTTAGGAGACAAGGCAGGCCGAGGTGGGGGTGGGGGTCAAAGGGGGGGGGGCAGGAGGGAGGTTCCCTGCCTCAAAGGTTGGAGGCAAGAGTAGAAGGACCGTTATGGCAGGTGAGTGGGTCACTTGACTGTGATGGGCTGGGAGGACATGGGTGCTAAGAGCTGAAAGATTAGACTACGCTCACTGGACGAGACTCCAGAAGAGGCTGAGGCCAGCTGGATGTCACAGAGATATATAGGAATGGAGTCAGGAAACGTGGGTCCCAGTGCTGGTTCTGTCTGCTGAGTGACCTTGGGCACTCCCTGTCACCCTGTTCCTTGGGGGGTTGGACTGGATGGTATTGAATGCTCCTTCTACCTTTGACCTTCCAGGACCCTGTGAATGTTTCTCTCGTAAACAGAGTACAGTCCCATGGCAATGATTTTGGGAGAGGGCTGCTCAGCATGGAGGAGAAGGAGGTCCCTCTCGGGCTCAGATTAAGTCAGCCGGGTTGTGCAGATAGGCTGGCAAGCTCCGGGGATGCTGAGCCATCCTCAGCAAGCATTATCCGGGCGCCCAGTAGGAGCCCATGTCAGGCAAGGCTCTCAGAAGGGCTTTTTATCTCTTCCAGAAAATGGCACTGGCCAAGAGAACCAACCAAGGCAACCTGGATCCAACGTAAGTTGTGTCTGAATGAGAGTTGCTCCATGGAAGCCAAAGCAAAGCAGTGTAAGGGCTTAGCTGAGGCCCTCAGCTCAGGTCCCCACATGTGGACTCCAGGGAGCCAGGCTGACCACATGGAGGACTTTCTTCTGCTCCAGGCAGGCCAAGGGAGTCCAGAACCCTAACAGGCAGAATGACCCTCACTTCCGTTTCTATTCTGAAGCCCCAAAGCAAGCATTGAATGTTATTACTTCAAGGCAGCAAAAGTCTCATCCACCAGCCACAGAGGAAAGGAGCTGGGAGTTGGGGAGCTGAGAACATGCAGGCATATTATACCCTGACAATGAGGCACCACTTAGAAAATGGGGCCCTGGCACCAATGGAGTCTGAGTATTAGCAGCCTCTTCCTCAGAGTTAAGGAATGGGATCAACAGAAGTCCATCCCTACCCAGAGTTGTCGGGGAGTGCAAGCCATGGGTGGGTGTCAGAGAACCCTACCTGGAGGGGAAGAAACGTTGAAGGCACAAAGGGGGTGGCATTCCATGCCAGGAGCAAGTGGTGGGAATGCATGCACAGAGTGTGTCAGCTACAGAGGCAGACAGTTGGGCTGAGTGTTGAGCAGAGGGTAAGGTTGACGCAGGACCATGCGTTCAGATTGTGGAAACTCTTGAAGGCCACGCAGTCATGCACACTTTGTCCTGTAGGCAATGAGGAGCACGAAGGGCTTTCCCTAGGCCCCCTGAGGGGAAGAGTGAGGGTCTCGGTGCAGAGTGATCCAGCAGCTATGTGGGAGGTCTGGAGAAGGGAGGTGTTAGGGGCAGGAGGCCAGATAGATTCCTTTAGTGTGAGCACCGGGGTTAAGGATCCTGGGAAAAATAGAGGCCCCGTCTTCAAAGGGTATAAACCCCTGCTTGGCTGCTCTCATAGCCAGGAGAGGCTGAGCTTCAGAGCAGAACATTCAGCAGATACTCACCCTTTTGGACTCTGGGTGGGGGGGGTGGGGGTGTGTGACTTAGGATTCCAGTGTTTGCCCTTTCCACAGGCCTGCTGCTGCTGGTGATTGTTCTGATATGTGGATTCATCCTGAACAAGGTTCTGGTGTTCTCTGTCTTGTTTATCTCTCTCTGGAAAGCCTGGGCTCAGGTGAGTGGGGGCCAGGGACAGGCTTGGGTGGAAATAAATGAGGGGACACAGGTGGTAGCTGCAGCTGTGGATTTAGAGGGACCAGCTCCCAGGAGTTCCCCAGAGCCTATCCCCTGAATTTCTTCACTTCTGTGCTAAGAAGTCTGGAGAGGAGGCAGGGCCCACCATTGGGAATGATGTGAATGGAGTTGGGCTGGTTCCTTGGGATGGGTGGGAGGGGCAGGGTGAAAATTTTTGTTACTGGCAATCCAGTCTTATCTTCAGAGGAGGGAGGAAGACGCAAGCCGGGGCTGGCGTGGATACATCATTTTCTCCCTTCCTTCCCTCCTTCCTTCCTTCCTTCCTTTTTCCCCCCAGATTTATTTATTTGAGAGAGCAAGAGAGAAAGAGAGAGAGGGAGAGAGCACAAGAGGGGCAGGGGCAGAGGGAGAGGGAGAAGCAGACTCCCTGTTAAGCAGGGAGCCCAATGTGGGGCTCGATCCCAGGACTCTGGGATCATGACCTGAGCCTAAAGCAGACTAAGCCTGAGCTTAACTGACTGAGCCACCCAGGCACTCCAGATGCATCATTTTCAAATATCATTCATTTCTGTCACTCTTCAGGTAAGGGAGCCTCCTGAGGTGTCCCCAGGGCACAGCAAATCCAGGGAAGCAGACTTAACCTTCCAGGAGCAGACAGGCATGCCTTCCTCCACTAACAAATACCATGTTCCACTCTGTTCAGTGGTAAATAAGAGGTTTCCTGAACTTCTTTGTGAGATCTCTGTCTGAACCCTCTCTTACCCAGAGGGAAAAGAGTAGTAATGGGGGGGGGGATGTAGAGGGCTGGCTGCAAAGAAACCCATGGAGAGTCATCAGGGCCAAGGGAATGGCAGTCGATTTCCGTATTGGGACTCACAATTGGGACTCACAAAGTGTAATTCAGATGAACTTTATATTTGTTCTCTTACTGCTGTCTAGACTCACTCTGCTGAGGATCTTGCTGGCCCCCTGGTAAAACATACAGGAAGACCCATCACTCTTCTGGTCATTTTTTGAAAAATAGACTTTATTTTTGAGAGCAGTTTCAGGTTCACAAAAAAACTGAGATACAGTACAGAGTTCCCCTGTCCCACCACATGCACAGCCTCCCCCACTATAGACATCCTGTCCCTGAGTGGTACATTTGTTAGAATCGATGAATCTACATTGACACATCAGTGTCACTCAAAGCCCATAGTTCACCTTAGGGCTCTTATTTGGTGTTGTCCATGCTAAGGGTTTGGACAAATGTGTACTGATGTGTACCCACCACTGTAGTATCACACAGAGTAGTTTCACTCCTTAAAACCCTTCTGTGCTCTGCCTATTCATCCACACCCTTCTGGGCATTTCTAAGCAGTATAAAGTTTATTCCTAAACTAGCTTCAGTTCAGTAAGGGTAAAAGGGGTTCCATTTAAAATGAAATCTTCTCCTTCAGATCCCCTAGATTTTGTCCCTCTGTCAGAGGGACAGAAGGGTACAGGCTGGCTTTTCTTTCTTTCCTCAGCCACCATCTCTACCCCTTGCTGTAGTTTCTGACACCCCAGGACTGGAGCAGTGGAAGGGAAGAGGAAAGAAGCAGGGAAGGTCTCACCTATCGCTGCTGCTCTGAGGGTCAGTCAGCTTAAGTTAACCTTTTATGAGAGAAATTTACATTTATGAAGGAAATTCCCATTTGTAAGGGTGTCTCCCTCTCTGTACCAGGATGAGAAGGTTGACTCTATATCATAGAAGAAACTTATCCATGGAGAAGGCATGGATTGAAATCTGCATAATGAACCTTACCTCTTGTTTACAGTGCTTTTCCTGGAACTAATCTCCCCATACTGGCCTCCCCACACCTGTCTTTTGTCTTTAGCTGAAGACAGAACTTAAGCTGGAGTTCTAAGCCACCTTGGGGAGTTACTCAGTTTTTCCCCTGGTTATCTCCCTTATACATGAGGTATACATGTTCATAAACTTTTGTTTGTTTTTCTCTTGTTAATCTGTCTTTTATTACAGGAGTCTCAGTCTCTACCAGAAGGATAGAGGGAAAATTATTTACCTTACCTACATCAGTCAACCTCTAGCTTCCTTCCATGGGGTCTGTCCACCTCCAGGCAGCCTTTTTGGACAGGATCCATGACAACCCATACTGGTGGTCTCACACATGTGCAGCTCACATCTGGTCTGTGGGAAATACCCACTTCATTCACCCCAACAAACTCATGGAACCCTGGTGGATCCCCACACAACCAGTCTTTCACTCCTTCATTGGGACATCTAGCCAATGGCAGTCTCTGTCCGTTACAGTTCTTAGGCTGGAGTCAGACACCAGTCTGCTGTGTCTTTCAAGTGCAGAAGACATTTAAGCTCTCCAAGTTGTGATCTTGAAGCCCCTTTCCCTGGGCTTGAGGTAAGGAGCAGACATCCACTCCCCTCTACCCCCAGGGTCATAATATATCCAAACTGTGTCTAAAAATCCTCTCCCAATCTTCAAAATCCCCGCAAATGCATAACTTTGGTGTGGGTGAGGTTTGGATACCTTTTTGCATGGGTTGCCCATGCCTCACTCTGGAATATGGCATCTATTTTCTTGAGACTTGTGTTAGTTGCAGACAGCTAAATCCAATCTGCCTATTTTATATACGAAGGGATTTTTAAAAACTAGAATAGTAAATGATTTACAGAATCAGATTCTACTGTGAACCACTGGGAATGACTCTCAACGCTACACTACAGGGTAGGGCTGCTAAAGGGGTCACTGCTCTTGTGACAGGACCCTGAAGAATCAGAAAACTTCCCAAATCAGGAAGCTGCCAGCCTAGCTTCTGGTTCCAGCCTCACCCCACCTCAGCCACAATCCACACCAGCAAAATGCATGCCTTTCCTCCAAACTTAAGTCTTGCACAAATGCATTTGATTGGTGGGGCCTAAATTATATCTGGAACCCTAGCTGTCAGAAAGTCTGAGAAAAGATTGTGCAGACCTTTTACTGTGCAGAAAGGCCCATGAGAAGGAGGAAGGACTGGTCCACAGCATCTGCCCAAAGAATCTCAGCCAAAACTGAGATGAAAATAGTTCAGATTTGAAAGGTCTTTGTTTTGTTTTGTTTTTATGGTCAATGAAAGACAAATACAAACATACATTCTTTGTTGTGTTATGACAAATATACCCTTTTGTCTATTATGAAGTTATTTTATAATAAAAGTTCCTATTTACCCAAAACAACATATTGGACATTATTATATGTTGCATATCACATAATAAGATACAAACACAGTGAATTCTTATTTTTTCCTATTCCAAAATCTATGGTACTTTTCTCAAAAAATCTCTGCATGTTTAAGAAAATGACTCCTATTTCCCATCACTCTATTTCAATCTACTTCTGGGATGCCCACATGATCATTAATTATTCAGTGACATTTGGAAAATTCAGGTTCCATGGCAGTCACATAAGTGAAAACTGGATAAACTAGATCCTGTTCCAGGCTGGACATACATCGTCTCATTTATGTTAGGAAGTAACATCCTCCTAAAGGATGGAGGAGAAGGCCAATTGCAAACAGAATGCAAACATGCTTTGTTTTTGCTTTTTTTTTTTTTTCTTAATATAAGCTCTTTAAGTGCTCAAAACTGAGTTGCCACACTCCTTACCCCTTGGCACAGTCACTTACGGAAATACTTTACCACTTACTTGGTTTAATGTGATTTTTATTTTTCTCATCTTCACCCACCCATTATGCTCCCTCCCCACAGGCATCCTCTTCATATATTTAACATATGCCCTTTCAATCTACTGTCCATATGTTTATTTTTATCTGTGTAGATCCTTGGAAATATGTAGTATTGGTTTTATGTGCTTTGTTTTACACACATTATATTCTATTGTATAAAAAATGTGCACTTCAGTGGAAAACTGCATTGTCTCTAGCACACCCTTCTGCTCTCTGATTCTGATTCTGGGGGAGCTATTTCATAGTTTTGTAAGTTGTAGGTAAGTGATAGACATGCAGATTCTGTCTTGTCTTCCATCCCCTGTTGTGGGAGGGAAATAAACCCCAGACTGGTTTGCTTTCCTATGCAATTTGTTTCAATATTCCTTTCCTCCATATAAATGTATGCTTCTTGACTTCCTTTTCTAACTGGTCCTAACATCTGCCTGGTTTATTCACTGAGTATGAGTTAAAAAGAATCTTTAATTTTTTTAACTGTATGAAAGTTGTGATTTAACCTTTTTTTTTGAAAACTGTAACTCTGTTTATAAATTTCACACAATCCTTCTACTTTGCTTCTGAGACTATCCTTGTTGCTATATGTAAATCTAAGTCTTTGATTTTTTTTTTTACTGCTATGTATGATTCCATGTAAGTGCTGAATTTTACTTATCCCTTCCCCTTGTGATGGATACCTCACCTGCTTCAGCAGCAGACTATAAAAAATAAACAAACAGGCAAAATCCAGAAAAACAAAAAGCAGTTTGAAGTAAACATCCCCATCATCTTCCTGGAGGACCCATGTAAGATATTTTCTAGAGCACCCAGGGGGCATAAGGCAAATAGAACAAAGGTTCAGAGACACGCCCATATGTGTATTCACCTGATTATCACACAGGTGCCTCTGTGACTTGGTGGGGAAGTTCGGTCTTCCCAACTGATGATGATGGTCTATTGGATAGTTGCTTAGGGGGGAAAAAGGCTTTTACCCTTCTCTCACACCATACACAAAATGAACTAACATGGATCATAGACCTAAATATGAAAGGTATAAACAATCAAGCTTCTAGAAGAAAACGGAAAATGTGATCTTGGAGTAGGCAAATGTTTCCTAAACAGGACAAAAGAACCAGTAACCACAATAGAGTATACATTCAGGAGTTGGATACTGAGTGCAGGACAGTCACACACTTATTCCACATGGAAGTTCCAAAACGTTCTCACATGTTCACTGATACTGAATCTTATCCAACTTCCTAGTCCCTGCCAGTCTGCTGAGTACAAAGTGGAAGTTCAGTGTTTCACACGAGTGCTCCTCTGAGAACTAACGAGATCAAACCTCTCTCCATGGGCTGGTTAGGCATTTGGATTCTTACTGCGCTGGATCTCTTGCTTCTGTTCATTTTGCTGTTGGATGTCCTTTCTTCTGCTTGCTGATTCTTAGTAATTCCTTGGTTCATTAAGGTATTCATCTATGGTCAGTTTTAGACACTGCAAATATCTCCCCTCAGTCTCTCATCTGTTACTCGGCAAGCACATATGAGGCCAGGCCTCAGTGATTTGGTGCAGAAGACACAAGGAGCCATTTTTTAGATTTAGACAGTCTATTACTTACACAGGTAGTGAAAGGAAGATCAGCTGAATGTTCCAGCTTCCTGGGGTCCTCGTCCCATACTCCAGAACAAAATGGGTCAGAGAACTGCAACCAGCCGTGATACCCCATAGCTGAGGAGCCCGTTGGTGACGGCCACTTAGTGATCTGACGGTTTGTTCTGAGGGGGTCAGCAGAAAGCCTCGTACCTTATCAGAACACGGAGGGTGATGAGAAACTGCCTTCCAGGAGGGGATCAGGTGGTGAGTGGCAGGTGTTCACTGCCATTGTCTCTTACTCCAGGAAGAGGCCAAGTGCATCTGTCTGACTCAGAGTAGCTGCAGTTCAAACCTCCGCCTGCATGGCTCCTGTGGCTGCAGGTAGGCGGGCCAGTGTCCACGTGGAGCTCTTCGCCAATGTTGCTTTTGTCCACGAGAGCCTTTGTCTGAAGAATAAATGTTTGTGCTGTGCGCTGAAACCATTTATAACTACATTCCGTTTTGGCCACATCTTACTGCCTATGTGAACATGACTTTGCTCTTCCACTGTTCGTAAGTATTACTTTACTTTTCCAGGCATTTTCTTGCCCAGGCAAATGGTTTCATTGTTCATTATAGAAACTTCCTGAAAGATCCATCGACTCTTCAGTGGAAAGCATCATGAGATAGTTTGCACCCTAAGAATCTTTGAATCCCTGCCTCAAAATCCTCGTCTTGCTGTTCCTACCAATCCTGGACTGCTGTACTGCAACCCTTCCCCACTCCTGATGCAGCCCCTGCTATGCCAAGACCTGTCTTAAACAAACTTCTCAGTAAATTCGGAACTTGCCTTCCTCTAGGATGCTGCCACAGCTCTGCCAAGACGGTCTTCTCCCTGATCGCCATGAGCAATAAACTCAGCTTTCTCATCCCCACAGGTTGTGTTGCTGATATTTGGGATGACAGCATTTGACAATGTAATTAAATCCATCCATTTTTCCCTTTATGACTTAGGTTTGGGGATCTTATTTAAGATGTGTATCCCAATCTGAAGCAGAGTAATATTTTGAATATTGTCTTTTAGACAATGCATAGAGATCTTCTCATACATGATCTTCTATTAGCTTTATAGTCTCGACATTCACAACCACCACGCAACAAAGAGATCTGTCCCTTCTGAGGGGGGGGCAGGATATTGTTAAAGTTGACCTCAGTCACCTAAAGCTGTGCCAATACTCTAGTCACTAACCACACATGGCTATTTACATTTAAGTTAATTAAAATTAAATGAAATACCAAAATTCAGTTCTTCAGTGGCACCTGCCACGTGCCAGATGTTCAACGAGTGGCTAGCAGCGACTGTGCTGGGCAGGAAGATAGGGGACCTCTCCACCACAGCAGGAAATTCTGTCCCACAGCCCCGCTTTCAAGAATTCTCTTTCAACAGAACCGGTTGGCCAACACAGCTTTCAGTTCCTTGTTATAAATTTAGCATCTTATTAATATAGATTGAAACATTTTATAGCACATGGTACTTGACTTAGAGTTTCCATTCAATTAAAGCAGAATTTTCTCTTTAAAAAAGAATCACACTTCTGATTTTTTATTTTTCATTCTCAAAGAAAGGGCTCATATGATTTTGGTACCTAAATCCTTTCACCCTTTTCCCCCCAAATCTCCTCCAGTGCTGCCTTGTCCTTGGGTCTGTGGGTGCAAGCACAGCCCATTTGGAGGGCTGATGGAGACACGCTGCTGGGAGCCAGGGTGGATGAGGGCTGCTCAGCAGTGGGCAAAGTGCTAGGGTGTGTTGGGGGACAGGGTTCCAATGCCTGGCTCAGCTGTGCAATCTCTGTGAGAACTTGGATAGTCACTGGCCTGCTTTGCAGCTCAGCCTCCACAATAAGAGGCTGGAGATGAGCTCTGTGGTTCCTTCCTTATCAGATCAAGGTGAATGCCCGGATGCTGCTGCAGGCTCGAGCAAAGCAGGACTCACAGAGAGAAAAAGCTGCCTGGCCTTCAGGGGGCTCACAGTATTGGTAGCGTTAGGACAATATCTACCACAGCACAGGATTAGGTACCATCGTGAGCAGCCATTGCATACAGGCCTCTGTGCCAGCTTCTTGCAAGAGGACCCCTGTGAGGCTAATTGGGGAGGAGCCCCAGGAGGAATTCAGCACAGTTTGAGGCATGACCAGCATGGCAGTCAGGACTGGGACCTTGGAGAGACCAGATACACTGGGGGCCAGAGAAAGGGGTGGGCACAGACTGTGGGGTCTTAATGCAGGGTGAAAACACATCATTGACCCACCATGCCTGAGAGTAGAGTCCCTATGCTGCCCTGGGGCCCAGAGAGACTCCACGGCCCCCCAACCATGCACAGGTAGTGCATGGAGAGAAAGAATAGAGGAATGGTGGGGCTCCTGGGTGGCTCAGTCTGTTATGCGTCCCACTCTTGATTTCTGCTCAGGTCATGACCTCAGTAAGATAGAGCCCTAAGTCAGGCTCCCCGCTAATCATGGAGCCTGCTTAAGAGTCTCTCTTGCCCTTTCCCTCTGCTCCTCCTCCTCGGCCCCACTTCGCTTGTGCATGTGCTCTATCTCTCTTTCTCTCTTAAAAAAAAAAAATAGAGGAATGGCCTCTTCTTTTACCATAGTTCTCTTCTTGGGCATTCTCAGAGCTTTCTGTAGCAATGGTGGAGGAGTGTGATGGGGTGGAAGGTGTGGCATGACAGAAATGGGGAGAAGCTGGGCAAAAGTGAGTGCCTGAGGCAGAACTGAGGTCTCCAGGCCCAGAAACAGACCCTGAAGGTGGTGGACCCCCACCCAGGCCTAGCTGCTCCTTCCTCCCCACTGCCCTCAGAGCCTACCTGTAAGGCTGCTCACTTCCCCAATCAAGGTGTTGGCCTTTCTTGACTCTTCTAGTTCTGAAATGCTGGGAAGCTGGAGTAGAATCAAGCTCACCTTCTGCTTCCCTCTCCCCGGAGGCCTCCCCTCTCTCCTTCACTGTCAGAAACAGGTTGGGGGTAGCATCCTTGGCGAGCCCTATGTTTGATCCTGCCACCTGTCCTGCTGGTGCTCCTGGCCTCAGGTGAGATGGAGAGGGTGAAGGGGAGGGATGGGGCAGGGAGGAGGGAGGCTCTGTGACCAGAAGGCTGGCTTTGGGGACTATGCTGTGGGTGTGCACTTTCTCTCCCCTCACCCCAACCCTGGGAGAGGGGTAGCTGAGGACAGCTAGGGCCCTGACTTGAGGTCTTGTTATCCAGGTTCCTGGGGAAATAGAGTTGTGCCTGTGGAACTTTATGAATTGGTGGGATAGGCACTCTCTGCAATGCCAATACCCTCTCAAGGGAGAGCCCTATGAGGAAAACCCAGTGTCAGCAAATATCTGCAAATGAGTCTGTCAGATTAGTCGCAGCTCCAAGCCCCACGTGACAGCTCAGAACTCTCAGCACACAATCTGGGGTGGGCTAGATGCTGGCTTTTTCCTCACCATGATTTAGCTGAGGGAGGAGGACCTCCCTACTGATGTGGAAGCTACAACTCTTCTGGCAACTTGGTCACTATTCTCAGAATTATCAGCTTGGTGGTGTCTCCAGGGGAGCTTCCTTCTTGAGGAAATGCTCCCTTCCCTCCCAAGTCTGGGAATAAATGTCGCTCACCCCCTTCATGTGTTTCAATCACCTCAGATCCCACCAGATCTTCTTCTCTGATCCAAGGGGAGTAAGGACCCTCTCTCCAGGGAAGGGCTCTTACCTCTGTTCCATGCTGATAGTGCCAGCCCCAACTGATGGATCTGCCCAGGGCTCACTAGACAGAAACCCAGAGTCTCTCTCTCTGTTTCTATTTTTCTTACACACATACACCAGCAGCGATGGTGTGCAGACCTTAGGCACAGGTCACCCCTGGCCTAATGGACCCTGAGGGACAGTCTCTAGGTCCCCTACTTTCTCTCACAGCTTTGGGGCCAGACTCCATTCTGTCTTCTGGGCCCATGGACAGTTGTTGTTTACTTTCTTTATGTTTTAGCCCCAACCACTTCTCCTGTGTGGACACCCACCTAGCTTCTACCAAGTACAGGTAGGTCTGGGGTCTCAGTGAGGTGCATGAAGAGGGACCGGGCACCTCAGATTTGAGGAAGGAAGCATCAGGGGGGCCTGCCTTTGTGGTTTGAGCTCCTGGGGCCTGGGCTGGTGGGAAGCTACCTTCAGGGCTTGCTAGGCTTGAGACTTTGGGAGATAAACATGCACGATCTGATCCGAACATAAAGATAGCCATGAATGGGCTGGATGCCCCAGGCGGCAAGCCTGTTCAAGAAGACCCTGCACCTGTGTGTCCCAGACCTACCCTTTGCTTCCTGCTAGCTTGGGGAGAAACTCCTCCCCTTTGGGCCCAGGGCCAGCTTGGACTTCAGCTGATTATAAAGATCCCAGGCATCAGTTACCCCTGGCCTGAGGGATCCTAAGGAGCTGACTCTATCCCCTTTCCACTTCCTTTCAAGGTTTTTGGAGGCTAATCCCATTCTCTATGTTCTCCTTAGTTCTCATCACTTCTCCAGAGGGGACCTCTCACCCACTCTCTCTCAATGGCTCTGAGCTCGAGTAGGTCAGGTAGGTCACCAGAAGGGAGAGTCCTAGGAAGGGATGGCCAAATAGCTCATGCAGCCTCAGACTCAGGAAGAAGGGACCCAAGGATTATTTCCAAGATGGTTGAAGTACAGGGTGCTGTAGAGGCATTTCCAAAGCTCACATTCAAAATTGGGGAGAGAGGAATAAGGAGAAGGACAGAGGTCATTAACTCTAGAGGAACTATATAAAAGTCAGTTAGACATGGGATTTCTGGAATGAGACCAAATAGAACCAACATAACGTGGAAGCCAGAGGCTATATTGGTGTGCAAATGGTGGGTGCAAGATCACAGATGGGAAGATGGTGGCTGGAGACATAACAAAAAACAGGTGAGAGGAAACTTTTTATTTCTGCTCTTGACTCCTGCAGTCATGAGATTTGAGACCATTATGACCTTCCCTTCATTGCAGAAATAGCCTGCATCAGCCTAGGTCACAGGTGCTCTAGGGCACCATGTGGCCCAGCAAAAGCAGTGGGTGATTGATGAAGACAGGTGGCCAACTGCCTATGGGCACTTGCTCCCTAACCCTTTCCTTCTCCAAACTCCAAGGCAGGTGGGTTACAAACTAAAGAGGATATCCCAAAGTGTTTAAAGGTGAAACGCTTGCCAGAGGATGGGAATGGCAGCAATGTGGGTACACAAGGGGGTACTCTTATGCTCTAGGTACCACTTTTAAAGCTCACGAGATAAAAGGATCTAGCCTTCCATTCTTCCCCTATCACTAGACTGGGTATATGATTAGCCCAGGGGAATCTGAATTCAGAAGCCAAAATAACCTGGTGCCTTAAGAGAACTACTACCTTAAAAGAGTAACAATATACCAAACAAAAGAAACCATCTAAAGAAGAACTATGGGGACTGACATCACAATAATTATAGGTAAATATTGCCCGTATGGCTAAGAGGTAAGGGAAGACATAAATTACATGAATCAAAAGGAAGAACCATTAAAACTGCTAAATTAAAATAATGGTTGTGAAAAATATTATGGTTGAAATAAGACCAAATATATGTGATATATAAAGAATAGATGTGGTGGGAGCATGAGCTAGAAGAGAAGTTCAGGAAAGTTCCTGTACAGCATTAGGAGATTAAAGAATCTAAAGAATTAAAGAATCTAAAACAAGTGAAGGGGCACCTGGGTGGCTCAGTCTTTAAGCATCTGCCTTCGGGATCAAGCCCCGCATCGGGCTCCCTGCTCCGCGGGAAGCCTGCTTCTTCCTCTCCCACTCCCCTTGCTTGTGTTCCTTCTCTCGCTGTGTCTCTCTCTGTCAAATAAATAAATAAAATCTTTATTTATGAAAAAGAAAAAAAGAATTAAGACAAGTGAAGAGACATGGAAAAGTAGATGTACCAACATATGGTTACAATAATCCCTGTGAAAGAAAAAAGATGGAAGGGAAGAAATATTTGAAGAAAAAATTAATATAAACCTCTCAGAATTATAGAAGAAGAAAAGATCTCGGATCAGAAAGACTCATATATTGCCAAGAAGAGAAAATAGGAAACACACACACACACAGCCCTAAACCCATGATATGAAGTGTAAGAACATCAAAGACAAAGAGTAAATTCTAAAGACTTTCAGGTCACCTATAGAAGAACAAGAATTAGATCTACATTAGAATTCTTAAGAGGAGCACTGGATGCCAGAAGACAGTTGAGTAATATTATTAAAGGATTGAAAAAAAGAACTTTGTACCTAGAATTTTATATCCAGCCAAACTGTCATTCAAATATGTGATCATAATACTTTGGGACTTTGAAAGCCTCACAGAGTTTGCCACATGCAAAGATCCCCTCTGAAAATACACTTGGAGGAAATACTCAAAACCAATCCAGAAGATGCTGCAAGAGGTGAGGAAATAGTGTGATCAAGCACCTTGATAAATCTATTTTTTTCTTCAACAAACAAACAAAAGCAGCTAGAACCAAAATGAAGAAAAAGAGAAAAT